GTGGGGGGAGAGGGCGAGCCATGTGGGGAGAGGGGACGTGTGGGGAGAAGGACCCGTGTGGGGAGAAGGAGCAACGTGTGGGGAGAAGGAGCACCCTATGGGGAGAAGGGACGTGTGGGGAGAAGGGACGTGTGGGGAGAAAGGACGTGTGGGGAGAGGGAATGTGTGGGGAGAAGGGACGTGTGGGGAGAGAGGGGATGTGTGGGGAGAGAGGGGACGTGTGGGGGACGTGTGGGGAGAAGGAACGGTGTGGGGAGAAGGAGCAACGTGTGGTGGGGAGAAGGGACGTGTGGGGAGAAGGGACGTGTGGGGAGAAGGGACGTGTGGGGAGAGAGGGGACGTGTGGGGAGAGAGGGGACGTGTGGGGAGAAGGAGCACTGTGTGGGGAGAAGGGACGTGTGGGGAGGGAGCCCTGTGCCGTGGGGCGCTATGGGATGCTGTGGGGTGCCGTGGGTTGCCATGAGGTGCTATGGGGTATGGGGTGCAGTGGGGTGCTATGGGCGTTATGGGGCGCTATGTGGTATGGGGTGCCATGAGGTGCCGTGGCCGCTATGGGGCGCTGTGGAGTATGGGGTGCCATGAGGCGCTATGGGGCGCTGTGGGGTGCCATGAGGTGCTGTGGCCGCTATGGGGCGCTGTGGGGTATGGGGTGCCATGAGGTGCCGTGGCCGCTATGGGGCGCTGTGGGGCGCTATGGGGTATGGGGTGCCATGAGGCGCTAAGGGTTTGGGGGACAGACACAGGGTTTTGAGGACGAGGAAAAGGTTTTTTGGGGAAAGATGCAAAGTTTAGGGGACAAGGAAAAGGTTTTGGGGACAGACACAAGATTTTGGGGACGAGGAAAGGGGTTTGGGACAAGGAAAAGGTTTTTGGGGAGAGACGCAAGGTTTTGGGGACAAGGGAAGGGATTTTGGGGACAGACAGAAGGTTTAGGGGACAAGGAAAGGGGTTTTGGAGACAAGAAAAAGGCTTTTTGGGGAAAGATGCAAAGTTTAGGGGACAAGAAAAGGGTTTTGGGGACAAGGAAAGGGCTTTTGGGGACAAGGAAAAGGTTTTGGGGACAAGGAAAAGGTTTTTTTGGGGAGAAGGAAAAGGATTTTGGGGACAGGGAAAAGGTTTTGGGGACGAGAAAAAGGTTTTTGGGGACAGACACGAGATTTTGGGGATGAAGGAAGGGGTTTGGGGACAGACACCAGGTTTTGGGATGAGGAGGGGGGGTTTGGGTATGGACATGAGGTTTTGGGGATGAGGAAAGGGTTTTTGGGGAGAAGGAAAAGGATTTTGTGGACAGACACGAGGTTTTGGGGGCGAGGAAAGGCTTTTTGGGGACAGAGGAGAGGTTTTGGGCCACCCCACTCAGCCAGCCCCAGGCCACCAACTCCCTTGGGGTCAGAGCCATGTCCCCCCATGTCCCCTCCCGTGTCACCCCCCCCCAATCCCCACCTGCAGGGCAGGGCTGGTGTGGGGGGGCTGGGGGAGCAGCTGCTGCAGCCCCTGGGGTCCCAGCTGGTTCCCCGCCAGGTCCAGGAGGGTGAGGGCTGGCAGGGTGGCCAGCGTGGCCAGCAGCTGGGTGGCCATGGCGTCGGGGAGCCCACAGCCCCGCAGCCGGAGCTGCCGCAGCGGCGCCTGCAGCTTGAGGGCCCGGAGAAGGGGGGGG